TCTGGTGCAAATTACTGACCTCTGTCATCATTTTAAGTGGGGGAACTTGCACAATCGGTGGCTGACTAAATACTTTTTTGCCCCACTGTATGTAAAGATATGTCAAACTGATAAACTTTATTGTTGTTCTGCAAATCTTCACTCATTTTGAATTTAATGCCTGCAACACGTTCCAAAAAAGCTGGGACCGGGGCCTGCTGACCACTGTGTTTTATCACCTTTCCTGTTAACAACACCGAGTAAGTGTTTGGGAACTGAGGACACTACAATTGTTGAAGCATCAATTTTTCCCATTCTTGCTTGATGTACAACTTCAGTTGCTCAACAGTCCTGGGTCTCCTTTGTCATATTTTGCACTTGATATTGTGCCACACATATTCAGTGGGAGACGGGTCTGGACTGCAGGCAGGCCACTCTTTTACTTCAAAGCCACGCTGTTGTAACACATGCAGACTGTGGCTTTGCATTGTCCTGCTGAAATAAGCAGGGACGTCCCTGAAAAAGTTGTTGTTTGGATGGCAGCATATGTTGCTCCAACACCTGTATGTGCCTTTCAGCATTAATGGCGCCTTCACAAATGTGCAAGTTACCCACGCCTCTATTGTCATTTTAGCTGCAGTCATGTTAGTTTTTGGAGCCAGAAGTGACCATATTTGGACGAGAGACTGGATGCTACCACATAATAGCCAGCATAGAATAAATATGCTCTCTCTTTCTAGTCCTCGTCAGTACGCTTTCTGCCATGTTTTCAATAAACTGGAGTTTTCCTGATAATAACATATAGTCCAGCCTAGAAGTAATAAATGCGTGAACTGGTTTTTCAGTGTCTCTCTGACACAGGATATTTCTAACTTGAGAGATATTGTGCAAATGGAAGAAAGCCTACATAATTGTTCAATATCTGAAATTAACATGAACAAACTAATAAAATACTAGACTTCAACTCAACTAAACAGATGCACAAACATCTTGAATGGTACCTAGAAAACCATACATCTGGAAAGTTTGCACATAACTTCACTTGTTCCACATTTGCACAGTTCAGTAATGTTCAGATGTACAGAGACACCCTTGATAATAACCTGCTCCAGAGCACTTTGTACCTCAGACTGAAGCAAAGGTTCTTCCAACAGGACTATGATCCTAAGCACACAGCTAAGATAACAAAGGACAGCTTCAGGGCCACTCTGTGTATCTGCTTGAATGGCCAGCCGAACACCTCTTGAGATATGTAAAAAAGTCTGTGTGCTGACCAGATGAGAAGTTGTGCAAAAAAACAATGGGACAAACTGCCCTAACATAGGTGTGAAAAGCTTTTAGCATCACACTGAAAGAAGGTGAGGCTATAATTGCTGGCAAAGATACTCAAACAAAATATGCAAATGCTGTGAATACTTAAGGTCAAGGTCAAATTTATTTATATAGCACATTTTAAACAGCCGATGCTGCACAAAGTGCTTAACAATATAAAAATGCATTAAAAAGCAACAATGTAATACAATAATAACAGTAAAAAAACAATAATAGGACAGTAAAAGAATTAAAACAATAACTAAACTAATTCAAATAAGACCAAAATGCTTGGGTTGTAGTGTGTTAAAAGCCAGGGCATAGAAATGTGTCTTTAGTAATGATTTAAATTGCTCAAGTGTT